GGGGGGGGGGAGGGAAGGTGGGCTAATACGCTCATGTCACGTAGTAACGCACACGCCGTTCGCAGAAAACCTACACAAAAAGATGTCGATCGTCTTCGGAAGTACTAACCAAGGTGGCACAAACAACAACACACAAGTCGCCATATTGGATGAAGCAAAATATAATGTAACAAGCAACTGGAAAAAAGCTTATTTGATGTAACTCTTACACTAAATATCGTGATTCCTTTGTTTGTTTTTGTTGTCTTAAATGCTTGTAAAGTACAATTACATATTGCGTATGAAAACACTGATATTATTATACATGCAATAGTATGTGTTGTGTCAGAGGAGGGTCCAGGGTTATCACATGATGCTTTGCGTTTCGATGCATATTTTCGTTTGGAACGTGACGACATCACTCTTACTCGGCGTTCGAACAGGACGGAGTAATAGCGGCTTTCCGAAGCATTCGTCAAAACAAGTTAACTAAGAAATATTTCCTTATTATTGTATATTATATTATTATAGTCTTTCGAAGGACGATTTTCATTCACGAATTTCTCTTTGGGGTTCTGTTCATTGGAGATTTCATTCAAAACATTGTCAGTAAAGTCAACTCATCCACAGGGAAGACAGACTTTGAAGACGCGAAACCCCAAAGTAAAGATGTTTACACTTCCGGTAGTCGTCGCCGTCGTAGATTTTGCGAATCTTAAAGTCCCTAATAACACTTCTCTCGTGTTCTGCCAATGCCCGCTTGCTTTATAACTGCACACAGCAGATAAAAAAACAATTTTCTTTCCTTTACAATGAATCAAGACAGCATAGTCTCAAAAAGTCTTACGATGGTTGAAAATCTTCGTAGATGCATTAAATTAATGTATATCAAATGCCCTTCTAAAAAGCCAGGTCTTATGCTGACGCTTTAAAGAGGAAAGAGAAACACAAGGCCTAATGTTAGAAGGAAAAGAATTCCATAACTCAGGTGCAGCACGAGAAATAGTCATCTTTCCATACGATTTAAGACTGTATTTTAAGGCTGTTTAACCACTAGGTTTGAAGAAGAGAAGGAACATAAGGACTGATTAAATCACAAAGTTAGGAAGGTGCACCATTATGTAAGACTTTAAAGGCGAGTAAAAGTATTTTAAATTCAATGCGTTGCTCTACAGGCAACCAGCGCATATTAGATAGAACAGGAGTAATATACTCGTTGTTGGGAGAGAAACTAACAACCCTTGCAGCTGCGTTTTGAACATGCTGAAGCCTCTGTAAAGAAGATTTAGGAAGACCATGAAACAAGGAATTACAGAAATCCAGTTTAGAAGAAATTAATGCATGAACAAGGGTTTCACATGCACCAAGGCTTAGAAATTTACGAATTTACATATATTATGGATGTCAAAGAACCAAGATTTACAAACAGATCAGAGGTTATGTGTTTCTCAAGTGACAGCTTTTCATCAAATACAACACCAATATTACGAGCAGCAGAGGAAGGAGAAATATCAAAACCAAAAATATTAAGAAAATCAATTGATGGTCGAGTACGATAAGCACTTGACAATACGAGAATTTCAGTTTTATCACTATTTAGTTTTAACTTGTTACGGACCATCCACTGGTTATTGTCCGTCAAAACTAAGCGCGCAAGCGTTTATGGGATAACCCTGGACCCTCTACTCTGGTGGTGTGTATCGAATTTCACGTCAGTAAAAAACGTCGTCAGTAAATGTGGGTTTGTTGGTGGATGGGTGGGTGGGTTGGTTGGTTGGTTGGTTGACTGGTTGGTTGGTTGGTTGGTTGGTTGGCTGGTTGGTTGGTTGGTTGACTGGTTGGTTGGTTGGTTGGTTGGTTGGCTGGTTGGTTGGTTGGTTGGTTGGCTGGTTGGTTGGTTGGT